ATTCGTTATTGAGTTCTATTCTTTTTTAGCACATGCATTTTACTATGTTCATGAAGAATTTGGCAGCGAAGATCTCTTTTCAACCACAATGATCAAGATGGTCAAGGTGAATGAATAGTAGTAATAATACTAATTGAGCAGATTTTCTAATTATCAAATTAATCAGAAAAAAAAAGTTAAACTTGACCAGTCAACAAATTATATTTATATTATAATAATAATGGTGATGAATGTGTAAGTTCATGGCTCAATATGTAGATCATGGAATATTAAACCTACTAAAGACACTTGTCATGATTGGTTATTTGCAGCAATGGTAACTACTATAGGTAGTTGCCATTATAGAATATTTATGGTTGCTACAAATAAATATGACTAATAATAATACTAAATGACATAATTATATTAATCTTGAAAACTATTTGCAGCAGCCATAGTATCTATTTGTGGCAACTGTATCTATTTGCAGCATCCATAATTATTTACAGCAAATGGTAGCTACCAAAAGCTATTTATACCAATGGTAGCTACCAGCCCAATCATTTACAGCAAGTGTTTTTAAACCCTATTACTATTAAAATTTGATATATCTCAAAAACTATATAGATAGGTTACTGCCACAGCTGGGTCACTAGTAAAGGATCTGAAATATATTAAAAAATGCAAAATCATCACCTTATTTGGGGATCTGCAGAAGGATTATTAACCTTACTTTCCCAATGTTAACCCTTTGGTACACAGCCATGGCCATTTATTAATTAAAAATTTAAATCTTCTGTTTATCCTTTGATTAGTGGTAATGATCCTTGAATTAGGTGAAAATTACCAAACAGACAGTCCAAGATCAAAAATAAGAACAGAAAATTATTAAATTTGCAAATGAAATCTCTAATTTCAAGTTCAAAAATGATCTATGTAATGAAAAAGCATTGTACCAAATTGATTCTCTAGATTTGTATTTAAGGATAAATATTATAATACATGTATGTGATATTGAACAAATTGTAGCCATCATGTAACTCAAAAATATAAGAGAATTAGTTGGTGGTTATAATCCAGTTGGATGGAATATAAAAGAAAGGTCTCCCAATGACGAATATTGGATTGAAATAGATAAAAATAAAGCTCGAACCAACTCAAAATTTAATATTATTTTTTTATAAAATCATAACCACTGAATAATTATAGAAGTAAAGCAATAATAAGCTGCATAACATGCTTGCATTTAAATCATTTTTATGACAGACAAAAAATTTCAAATGAGAACAATCCAAGATTCCATGTTTTAACAAATGTTTTTAGGTTTTGAAATATATGCATATGATTAAACATCGTTTCAACAAATTTATAAGAGAATTGCATTTAAAGTAATGATATGAGCCATCAGTTAAGGTGATAAAAAAAATGTTTCTTAACATTCATGTTACGTCTGGAATTTTAGTCACTTAGTTGAGATGAGTCCATCTGCATGCATTACTTAGAATGACAAAGAAAAAACATGCATTAATACTCGTAGTAGTATAAAAAGATAATAATAAAGAAAGCAATAATACACACAAATTCTTTTAATTAAATAGAGTATAAAACAATCTTTTTGAGAACATAAAATAACAATGGTTAAATATTTAAATTGTCTTTTTCTTTATATTGGAATCTCTTTATTACTTAATCATACAGTTTTTTCTTATCGTGTTATAACTAACTAATGATGAATTGCCAGCAGACTCTAGCTCTCTATCTTACTTTTACATAACTATAATAATGGATCTTAATTCGAATAAACTTTCAATATAATTCGAATACGTACTCAAATTCATAATGAATAAAACAATAATTCGAATAAACCTTATTCAAATAGAAACCCTAATAATAATTAACCATTAAAGGTGGCGGATTAGGAGATATAAATAATAATGATAATGATAATGATAGTATTAGTAATAATAATACTGGCAAGCTTAAAGGAATTTCAGGAAAGGCTCTCACTAATTTTAGTACAAACATTCTGATTTTTTCATTATTGCATGCTCCGCATGCAAATAACTCCAATATATATATGTGTGTCCCTGTCATAAGATTTTAATATTAATATTAATAATCAAAACATGCCTATTTTTGATTCAATAACGAAAATAAAATATAGAATTAGTGATTTAAACTTGGACAAGCAATAAAATAGACTCATCTGGAAAATATAAAAAAATTTTACACGTGTCAATTGTAAGTTTAATAATAAAAAAGTGTAAAACTTACGTCGGCACTGTAAGATTTACACAATATTACGTCGGCATCGTAAGATTTATGCAAGTTTACGCTAAATTAATTTCCTGATGCATCTAGATCAAAATATGCAAGTTATAAAAATCCCATGGCTGGGTTTGATTTTTTAGATAGTATAGCCTTTGTGATAAAACAGTCATTGATTGAAGAATTAAATTCTTCATCTTATTGGAGCTTAATGATTGATGAAGCCAATAGTATTGATCATGATAAATATTTGGCAATTGTGGGAAAATACATTGCTAATAATATGCCAATTATGAGATATTTGGGCATGATTAATCTAGACTCAACTGTTGGAGAAAACATTTATAACCATCCCTATGAAAAAAAAAACGACTAAAAGGTACTGAATATATACGTTATAAAACAGTATGAAACATATGGAATTCAAATAGTACAAAAAGTACGGAATTGGACACTTTTCCGCACTTTTCCATACTGAAACAGTACTGAAATGGTGCTGAATTGGTATGGAATTGGTACGGAACCGGTACGGAACCAATACGGAAATTTACTAATTGAAATTCATTAAAAAATCTATTTGTAACTGTACTTTAGTTACTGAATCCATACTGAAATTACGTATTCAAAACATATTTTAATTACTGAAAAGGTGCTGAATCCATACTGAAATTACATATTCAAAACATATTTTAATTACTGAAAAGGTGCTGAATCCATACTGAATTTACATATTCAAAACGTATTTTAATTACTGAAAAGGTGATGAATCCATATTGAATTTACATATTCAAAACGTATTTTAATTACTGAAAAGGTGCTGAATACATACTGAATTTACATTTTCAAAATGTATTTTAATTACCGAAAAGGTGCTGAATTTACATATTCAAAACATATTTTAATTATTGAAAAGGTGCTGAATCCATACTGAATTTACATATTCAAAACATATTTTAATTACTGAAAAGGCGCTGAATCAATACTGAATTTATGTATTCAAAATGTATTTTAATTACTGAAAAAGTGCTGAATCCATACTGAAATTACATATTTAAAATGTAATTTAATTACTGAAATTAGCATATTTAAAATGTATTTTAATCACTGAAAAGTGTGCTGAGAATCATATAATTAATTACATATTCAAAAGATTTTATTTTTATTCAACATTGATATAATTATTATTTAAATGAAAAAAAAATTATATTAAAAATTATACATATTTAAAAGTTGTAAAAAAATCACATTAATTTTTTTTTGATTTTCTTGTGCTTTCCTTTCCTTTGCCTTTTTTGACTTGACCTGTTAATTTTAAAAAAAAAAATACCATGTAAATTTAATAATAAAATTAGAAGCACAATTGAAACTTATTATCTTCTATTAAATATAAATTATATAAGCAAACATTGTTTTACTTCTTTTGCCAACATCTTCACCATCTTCTTTAGTACTTTTTTTTTCTTTTTCCCATTTTTGATTTGATCTGTTAATTTGAAACAAAAAAAGATACCATGTAAATTTAATAATATAATTAAAATTCTATTAAAATATAAATTATATAACTAAGCAAATAAAAATAAACACTATTTTTATTACTTCTAGCAACATCATTTTGATCATTGCCATCATCATCAATATTAACATCATCTTGATCTTGGTCATCATCAACATCATCTTGATCTTGATCATCATCAACATAACAAATACTTGCTAATGAAGAAAATATAATAAATAATATTCTTATGTTAATTTGTTTGTTCTAATGAATATAATTAATGTAAATAATAAATAAAATGAATCAACAAATCTTGGTGTAATCAAATTCACATTACCACAAAAATTTAAATTTTTGCGCAACTCAATTTTTGTGTCCTTAAATTTGTTGACTATAATACCTTTATTATTATAATTATTTACAAATAAATAAAAATAAATAAATACATTACCCATATTATTATCATTGATATTTCCATCATCATCATAATCATCATCAACAATATTATCATCTAGCAGTATAAATTAATATTAATTAATGTCAAATTAAAAATAATTATTATATTCATTATGAGCATTCAATTATATCTTACCTTTGTTTTTATTACTGCTATTACTACTAGTATGATTGCTATCACTACCACCACTAGTATTACTATCACTACTACCACTACCACTTGTCTTGTTAGGTTTTTTTCATTTTTGATAATCCCCTTAATTTGTAAAAAAAATTATTAGGGTGGGAAAGTTAAAATAATAAAAATATATTTAATTGCTTACTCTGATGCTGAATGTTTTTTTTATTAACTCTTTCAATAGCCAATTATTGCATCTACTTTAGCACCAGGTTTCCGACCATTGAACTAGAGATAATAATAAGATTAAAAAAATCATGTAACATAAATAATAAATAATAGTAAAAAATATATATACTCTATTAATAATTCTTCCAATTAATACAGGATTTTGATTTTTAAATGGCACATTAATTGGTGTGTTATAATATTTCATAATATCCTTAATCTCTATCTGTATAATCATTACATCAAATTAATTAATAATATTAAATATATAGATTATATTTAACATATAATTACCAGATATATTTTGTAATCTCCTTTCATAATTTCTAAATTTTTACAAATGTCAGCTACTTTTATATAATTGAGATTGGCAGGTCTATAATTTTTAATCCAAAACTGTTCATTATTTTTCAATTGCTTTAAACAATAAAAAATAAAATTATTTTAAATGTTTTCAATAAAAAATTTATTACAGAATGTTATGATATAAAAATTACTTCAAGATTTAACTCCTTTTCTTTTTGTTTTAAAGAATTTCTTGCTGATAATAATTGATGTTGCAATTTAGTGGCCATATTTATTATTGTTATTATTGTTAAAATTTGTCTAATAATGATAATTGTGATATTAATATTAATATTAATTTTGATAAAAATTTTTGATTAACACCTTGATAAGTTTTTGATAAAGTAATGTAAAAATGTGTACTAATAATAATAATGATGATGATGATGATGATGATGATGATATTATTAAATTGGTTTGATAAAATGGTTATTGAAAAATTTTTTTTTTTTGATAAAGATATTGTAAAAAAAGATTTATAATAATATTAGTTTCTTTTTTGACTTGTATCTTGGTAAAATAATTGATTTTCATGTTTGATAAAATAATTTCTTTGATTTGTGTCTTGTTAAAGTAGTTATTGGTTTTTTCTTTAACTGTGTCTATTCATGACTTGATAATTTCTTGGTAAAAATTTAAAAACTTGTGTATATAGTAGTAATAATAATAATAGTAATAATGATGATGATTATGTTTATGATGATAATGATGATTAGTTTTTTTACTTGTATTTTGATAGTTATTGATTTGTTTTTGATTTGCCTTTTGATTTGCCTTTTGATTTGCATCTTAATAATTTTTAAAAAAACAATGTAAAAATAACTTTTTGATAAAAAAGCAATTTAAAGAAAATTTACATAGTAAGTAATAAGAATGATAGTGATAATTTTTTTTGATTCACATCATGGTGCCTTGGTAAACTTTTGACTCGCGTTATTGTAAAAATAAAATGATGCGTCACAAAAAGATGAATTTAGCCACAACATGATCACAAAAATCTGTAGATCATTAATTATAACACAGGTAAACTTGATAAATCGGACAAGTATTTATCAAGTTTACCTGTGTATTGAACAATTTGAATTTTTGAATTTTTTGAATACTGCAATGAAAAAAAAAATTGTCATTTATATATCCAAAAAAACAATCTCATGATAGATGGAGCTGATTAATACAAATTTGACAAATGCCACATTTAGGGTGGGAATTAATTAATTTTTTAATAGTTTCCCACAGATCTATAGTAATATAACATAACAAAAATGTCAATGGTCCTGTTATAAAAAATCTAATTGATCTCCAAAAAGAATATATAAAACTATTGTATTGCTTAAATAATCATTAATCAATTTGCTTTTTTTGTAGTTTTTATTTGAATAAGATTATTCAAATTATTTGTTTTATTTGTTGTGAATTTTAGTATTTGAATTATGTTAAAAGTCATTCAAACAAATTTTTTAATTTTTTTGAATAAATTTAATTCTTTAACTTGAATAAATTTGAATAAATTTTTTTAATTTTGAATTAATCCCATATATTAGTCAGATGACATTTCACATATCACTAGTAAATTGTACATTCTTTAATCTCTTTGTAGAATTTTTAGCTATTTACTAAAAAAACAGAAAAGAATTACCTGTTGATAGCTATGCCTTCAATTCTTAATAATATTGCAACAAATTATTTTGTAATTTCAATAATAATAAGAAAAAATCACCATTTGGTTCTTAGAAATAATATTACATCATTGGGTTGGTGTAGTCAAATGAGGCATGGATAATGGAAACAAGACAACTTATAGTTCCTTAGTAAATAATATAATTCTTTAATAAATTACTAACAAGCTTTGTTTCTAAGATTTTAATTCAACTAGAATAGTGAGCTTTGGATTAACTATTACCATCACCATAAAGACCAGCCTCATGGATGGATATATTTATGTCTAAGAAAGCTAAAGGTAATAACAATAATTTAATGAATTAAAGGACTCATTAAATTAATAAATGAATATTAATATATTTAATGTTGTATTTAATACAAATCAGTAAATAATTATTTTTTGTTATATGAGCCAAATCTGAAGTACAAGAATATATAACAATAATTCAGCAAACACATATATACATAAATCAGAGCAGAAGGTTATCTTAATAAAGTGTTATTTTCATTTCAATCAGCCCAATATTTTATTAATTAATCAAAATTTAAAAAATCAAGGAATTTTAACATGAGTGGTTGATGTTTTAAATTATTGATGATTTTTAAAGTCTGCATAATAACAATATGTGATTTGTGGGTATGATAAATAATAGAACTTTGGCTTTTGAATGAGTCTAAGATCACCAACTTAATCCAAAAATTGGCAGAACTACAAATTTTTGGATGCAAAAGATTAAAAAATCCAAGACAATTTTTTTATACATCAATGAATGATAATCATGTATAAGCATAATATATAGATTAAGAAGGTAAGATTACAAAGGATTTTATCCAATCAATTGAACTTTGGTGAAGATAATAATGATTAATTGATTATATGAGTAATTTAGGTGTAGATTATTGATGTTTTAACTGTTGACGATCTTTAAGGTTTACATATTAATAATATACGATTTTTTAGTATAACAAATTATCAAACTTTGGCTTTCAAATGAATTTAAGATTGTAAAATTCCTACAAGAATTGGCAGAATTATGAATTTTTAAATTTTAAATTTTTGTATTACAAAAGATTTAGATCTCAAGACAATTTTTTTATACATAAATGAATGATAATCATGTATAAGCATAACATATAGATTAAGAAGGTAAGATTACAAAGGATTTTATCCAATCAATTGAATTTTGGTGAAGATAACAATGATTAATTGATTATACACGTAATTTAGGCGTAGATTATTGATGTTTTAAATTGTTGATGATCTTTAAAGTTTACATATTAATAATATATGATTTATTAGTATGACAAATTATCAAACTTTGGCTTTCGAATGAATTTAAGATTGTAAAATTCCTACAAGAATTGGCAGAATTACAAATTTTTGGATTGCAAAAGATTTAGATCTCAAGACAATTTTTTTATACATCAATAAATGATAATCATGTATAAGCATAATATATAGATTAAGAAGGTAAGATTACAAAAAATTTTATCCAATCAATTGAATTTTGGTGAAGATTAAAATCAAATAATAATGATTAATTAATTGATTATATGAGTAATTTAGGTGTAGATTATTGATGTTTTAAATTGTTAACGATCTTTGAAGTTTACATATTAACAACATATGTTTTTAGTATGACAAATTATGGAACCTTGGCTTTTGAATGAATCTAAGATTGTAAAATTCCTACAAAAATTGGTGGAATTATGAATTTTTTAATTTTAAATTTTTGGATTGCAAAAGATCAAGACAATTTTTTTATACATTAATGAATGATAATCATGTATAAGCATAATATATATATTAAGAAGGTAAGATCACAAAGGATTTTATTCCAATTAATTGAATTTGGTGAAGATTATTAAATTAATTGTTATTGAATGAGTAAATATTGGATTTTCTGGATAATATCCAAGAGATAAAATAGTATATGTTATTTAGTATTTCTTTAAGTTGGAAAATAAAGTTGCTTCAATAGTGGGATTGTTAGGATAGTTATGTACAAAAGTATGAGAGCATGTAGAAATCATAATATTTATATAATGTGTAATAGGTAATGATTGACCATAATAATTAATAAAATCAAATAGTTAGATATCCTGTTTGTTAAGCCTTTGCTGGGATTGAACCAGTGATCAGTGAATGTAGTTAGGATAATAATAATAAATTTTTATTTTTTTTTTCATATTTCTTTATTCAATTGTTTCCAATGATCTGCAAGTGTCCATATATTTATCTTTATATACATGAAATTAAAAACATATCACTCACTCACATTCATTACATATGTTTTATATGCAATCAAAATGGACCGTACCTATTCTGTATGTTTTATGCTGAAACAAAAACGTACCCTTTCAGTATGTCATAAATTCTGTATGTTTTATGCGGAAACAAAAACGTACCCTTTCAGTATGCCATAAATTCCATATGTTTTATGCTGAAACAAAAACGTACCCTTTCAGTATGTCATAAATTCCGTACGTTTTATGCGGAAACAAAAACGTACCCTTTCAGTATGTCATAAATTCCGTATGTTTTATGCTGAAACAAAAACGTACCCTTTCAGTATGTCATAAATTCCGTATGTTTTATGCTGAAACAAAAACGTACCCTTTCAGTA